ATGTTTAAAATTACGACCTGCAAAAATTTGTTGGCGATCCTAGAGTAATTCTGTTATTTGCCATTATAGGTTTACATGCAATATAATTTTTTTAAAAAAAAAAATTATATATATAACTATAGCACTATAAAATAAATCCCTTTATTATTTATCAAAGATTTATAAAACAAATACCAAACTATATAATGTAAAATATTTTAAGTATATAAATCTGGATTTCGTACTGCTAATATCACTAATAAGCTTGTTTTGTCTCAAAAATTTAAAATTTAAGTTAAATATTGATAGCGATCTGTAATTTATCATTAGTGTATAAATAATTGATCTGATTCAATTATATTTTAAGCTATTTCACTATACTGTAATTAACATTTATTGTGGCAGCTTATGCTGAGATTGAAAGTTTGTCCTATTTTATTATAAAATTATAAAATTTTTGGGGCTTTTTTTGTAGTCTCTTTTTTTACTGTAAGGTTAGGGTTCAGGGTTAATATTATTAACAAAAGAGTATATATGGATTTTAGTAGATATTATAGATTTAAATAGGGATCCTGAATCTCAGCAAAGCCGCCACACCTATTGTTTCTATTGTAATATCAAATTAAAACTTATGCCAAACGTTTTTTAAATTTTCATATTAGAATTTATTAATATTATAATAAGCTAAACATAATTAACTTGAATTTTTATCACGGATGATGCTGAAATTCAATAATCTGATTAGTTAGAATTAGGTGATTTGCAAAATTTAACCAAGATGACTTATTTTCAGCATTATCTAATTCCAACATCATCGTGACAAATTTTTGCTGATAAAATTATAACTATTTATTAAATACACTTTGTTATAAATACAATCAACTACTATCGCTTAATACTAATTCAACTTCAATAAATTTAAGCCTAGAACCGAGTCATGTTGATCTATCACAAATTGTGTTAAATGACTTAACGCTAACCACAACTTTGATTTCGTGAATTAAATGCTGTAAAACCATTGATAAATATTGTCAATGTTTTGGAAAAAACTCAATAATTGTTGGGATTAGTAAAAAGGAGATCATTATTATAACGCTAATTTAGTAAAATATATGAATCTTGCAGTAGAAAGGACAGAAACTCAACTATACATGATTTCGATATAACCGAGATCGAAAGTTTTTTTGTTCATACTGAACCGGGTTATTCAAAATATCAAACTTGATTGACTGAAGTTACTGAGTAGTCTCATACCTTGTATTTTTGAATTATCTCGACTTTTATTATAAAAATCAATTTTCATTTATGATTGAAGAATGTAACTCGCGCTGAAATTTATCTAAATTTAAAAGAAATCGATTTCATTTTCGGGGTAGTTTCTGTACTTTCTACTGCAATGAATCCATATGACATAACATACCCTTATGAATCCAGGTAAAATTAAAAGTTCAAAGGCCTTAGGACATTACTATCGGAACCTTATATCTTTTTTTTCGATTGATTTGATGAACTTAGCATCACCTAGTTGAATCATCACCAATATCCTTTGTTTATATTTTTATATTCATCCCTTTTTTTTTGCAATTTCGCAGATCTTGCCATTTCTTTTGCTGCCAGAATTACATCCGGAAATTCACCTTCCATTTCATCCAATAACAACAATGATGCGGATTGTGTTTGCCTCGCCACGAGCCAATCCTTTTCCCTCATCTCTTCAATTGCTTCAGCTAACATAAGTAATGTTTTTTGATGTGGAAATTTGTCAACAAGGCTCAAAAGTCTTTTTTGTTCTCGAAAATCCTGCGGAGATCGAAATCGGTCAAAACGTTTCCAAATTTCCATCTGTTGATACCATCCGCTCATCAAATATTTGTCAATGATATAGCATGCATCTTTGATTTTTCCGAAAGTTATTAGACTTTGAACATAATGGTTCCAATTGTGTGAATCAAACTCGAAACGTTCCCTAACAAGTTGTTCCCATTCTTGTTGAATAATATCGTACCGTTTTTCGGCGGTAAGAGCATCTATCATAATAGAAACTGCATGACATGGAAGTTTCGATATTGTGGCTGAACTATATGGCACGTCAAATTTTGCTAATATTGATGTCGAAAACAAAGGTTTCAACGATGATGGTGTTTTCATAGTTTCCAACAGTGCTTCCGATGGTGATGGTCTCAGCAAATCCTTTGGTATGGATCTCGACACATGTGATTCAAACCATTCTGATAAAGAAGATAAAGTTTCTGACAACGTATCCTTGCGTAAGCTGTTCCATATTTGCCAAACAGCTTCGTGATTATGAACACGACGATAGGCATCCATAAGAATAGTATATGCATGTGCATTACGTGGAATGTTCAATTTTATCATTTCTTCAAATACTGCTCGAGCAGCATCTACATTTCCTTGCTTAGCATATGCATCCATAAGGGGTGTAAATACCTGTGCTGGGATTGTAGCCTTTTCTTGAAAGAAGTCCCCTTGTGTTGATTCATCACCAAGCGCTAATGAAGGTTGTGAAACCAGCTTTGATACAAGTTTTCTGGCGAATTCCAAATCACCATATCGAGCATGGCCGTCAATTAGAACTGCAAATGTAACATATGTAGGTTTTATGCCCCTTAGTATCATGGTCTCATAAAGGTTCTTAGCACTTAAAAAGTCTCCTTTTTGTAAGTGACCATGTATAAGAACCGTATAAATATGAGCATCAGGATCTAAACTATAGTTAAGTTCCATATGTTTAAAAAGACTAATGGCAGTTTCTAAATCGCCTTCTGCACGAAATCCATCAATTAAACAACAAAAAGTATAATTATCAGGGTGTATTAACGATTCTAACATTTCATTGTAAATTTCTCTTGCACGATCCATATCCTTTCTCTCCACGTATGCATGTAATAAAATGTTATAAGTAGTGGATTGTGGTTTTATTCCAGCGAATTCCATGTGCATCAATGTTTCTTCGGCTTTACGTAAATCACCAGACTTAACATTAGCATGTATAAGTGAATTGTAGGTGTACACATCTGGTATCAAACCATAAGTTCGCATTTCATTAAACAATAGATATGCGCTAAAAGGATCTCCACGCTCTGCAAAAAGCGATATCAAAGCATTATATATACGAACTGTCGGTTCTATCCCTGCCTCCAACATGATTCTACAGATGCGAAATGCTTTATATACATTATCTGCATTACAATATCCAGCGGTTAACATATAATAGGTTATTTCTTGAGGAACAAAACCGTCAGTTACCATATTATGGAAAACTTTATCCATAGATTCAGTATCATTTACATTTACAAAAAGTTCAATCAACGATGTGTAAATATGACCATTAGGTCGAATTCCAAGATTTACCATTTTATGTAATAAGCTAAGTGCCGAATTGACCTTTCCTAATTTTGCGTATACATTTATTAACTCCCCAAATGTCCTTACGTCAGGTGCTATACCTATTTTTAACATTTCGTCAACAAGTTGATGCATTTTCTCATAATTGTTTGAAAGACTATAAATTCTTATTAATACATTATATGATGCAGTGTCACGGTCTAATTGTTGTGATTCCATATCTTGAATCACATCCAATGCTTCATCAACTCTCCCTTGTTTACCAAGAGCATGAATCAACGCGTTATAAGTGTATATATTTGGAATCAGATCAATCGACTTCATTTTTTTAAATATTTGAAACGCTTCATCCAATTTTTGATTTTTGAGGAGTATAGCTATAACTTCTTTTGTTAATCCAGAATCAACTAATTCCATATCCATTAGTTCGTTAAACCACGGTATAGCCCCATGATTTAAGTAAGTTTGGAAACTTTCAGTGAGAATATTTTTTGTCAAAATATTAGGTATTACTTGTTTTTCGTGCATCAAAGAATATAAAAATGTTATTTCTTGAAGATTATCTTCAAATGTAGATGTATTTTTTCCATAAGCCTGCATCATCATATTAAAAGCGGGGCAATAAGGGCAAATTCTTTTCCCAAGAGGAGCTTTCAATTCACAGATTTCATCGAAAATTTTTCTTGCTTTACTTAATTCACCAACATCTAAATAAGCTTCTATTAAATAGTTTCGTTCGGTTTGATCAATGTACATTCCAAATTCTTTCATGTCATGATGTATTTTTAAATATTTTTGAAGACGACTAGAATTATTTTTATCAAGTTCTTTAATTGTTTTCATTAATCTATGAATAAGTTTTACACTCATGGATTTCAAATTCTTATTATCAACTAGCCTCAAATAAATATTCCATATTATATTAGGATCTTTAGTTTGTTGAATAGCATTACGTAATGTCTTTGTCCAATGTGTCTGTTCACCCGTTAGTGAGTTTATAGTATAGTTAGGCGAAATTTTTTCGGTGTAGTGACGAAAAACGAAACCTAAAAACGGCGAAAGACGAAAAACGAAACCCTGACGAAACCTCAAATCTCTCTGACGAAAGACGAAACTTAAAATCGGAAGTGTCGAAGGGCGAAGCCTTGCGAAACCTTCATAAAAATTAAAACCAGAAGAAATTTAAAAAGTTCTAAATGAAAGATTGAATTATATAATTAGCAAACCATTTCCATATTATTAATTGAGTCCTTACCTTTCATAGATTTCTCGCTATTTGTTGTTATTTGTTTTATCACCTTTTTTTTTTTTTAATACTATTGTTTTAGACACTTGATTGTCTTGAAAAGTCTACCGGTAATAATTTTCCATGACAAAAAAAATGGCTTCAGAATGCAACCATCCTATTAATAATTAGTCGAGCTTCGCATCTATCGCTAAAAAAACGCTATTCCTGATCGGCCAATCAAGGTGTAGGATCAGTATCGTGAATAATATCATAACTGATTATATAAGAAAAAATTTTTTTTAGTATGATCATACGTATATATTTTTCTGTAATTTTAGTCGTTTTGATTGGCTATTTGTTTTATATTGAAAAGTATACGTAGTTAAATTTTTATAATTTGTTTAAAGCTGCCTCAGATTTTTTTTTGGATGCTTAACTTTTATATAAACGTTGGAGATCAAGTGAGATCAAGTGTTCCACCAACTTTTATTAGAAGCCATTTTGACTATAAATATAAGTTTGGTTTTTAAAGCGAAGTAACCAATAAAAGTCAAATTTCTTTTTGAATAAACGTTTCAAATTTCACATGAGCAAGGTATTAGAAGTAACGTGTGCTAATCTTTAATTTTGGCCAATTCTGCGAATTTGTGTAAATCAGCCAATAAAAACAACTTTCCATTATGCTATACTTTATTTAATGCTTTTCTACGAAAATATTAAATTATTCGACAAGCGAAAAATTTTTTGAGCGGGTTAGCAGCACATCTCTTCTCACCACGATAGCGCTCAGTTAATTTGCGCTCAGTCTAATAGTGCTCAAGTTAACTTGAGCTCAATCTAATAGCGATATTCGCTACGTACTGAGTAATTTTTTACAAACGTTTCCTTCTATGCATCCTATACTTTTTCTAAAACGAACAAAAGGTTACCAAATCTAGGCACACCAAACTGACTGGGTATTAACATTATCGCTTCTAAAAGGAAAATAACCGATACACAAACTTTAAACAATTTCTCTCTAGCGCTAAAAATAATAAATAAATAAATAATAACAATTTTACGTTGAAATTTATTTCTTTGAATATCGTAATATTTTCAGAATGGAACATACACATCCTACAAAACTTTTTCATCTTTTTGAATTACGAAACCAAATATTGCGGTTCACATCAATAATAAATCATGTTTTGAATGTACAAGCCGTGTAAATGAAAGCAAAAAACGGAAATGTGAGGATCGAGTTTTAAATGATATTCTCAAGCAAAAAGAAAATACTATAAACCTCGAAAGGCTTAAATACGTATATATTTTATAAAAGACTCATAGATGTTGAAGGAGAACGCACTATCTTGTTTGTCATATCCTTACCGAGCTTAAAAAACATAGCCTTGACTCGAGTTAATTCGAGTTAAAACTATGTTTTTAAGCTACGAGTTGACTCGAGTCCAGTCTCTAGCATCGGTTTCAATTACTTCTGCATGAACGAACATTACCATTGTAGCGTAAATAATTCAAAATTGAGTGGAATAAATTAACCACGCATAGCACTAAAAATGTTTAACCGTTCATCAAAATTGGACATATTCTTGTCCTTATTTTTTTTAAATCAGATTCTTATTACACAAATTTCTTGTTAATCTTCTCAAGTCATTTTCCGGACGGTTTGTCATTATATTATAGTCTAAAATTTTCTAAATCTAACATTATATTAACTTAGGTACAACGAAATTCTCAATGTCCTTTTATTATGGAAGCTAAAAAAACCTTTATGGAAAATATTCGAACGTCGCCTTAATTGATTACAGTCAAACCTCTCTATAGTCACACCTTCGGAATACAAAAATGCGTGATTGTAAAGAGGTATGACTAATATAGAGGTATTTCCTATATAGTTATAAATAATTGGTAAAAATAAATTTGTAATTATACCAATTTTGTGACTATAGAGGAGGTGACTATAGAGGGGTTTGACTGTACACACAAGTCAGTTTAACGTCGATTTGATAAGTTCAGAAAACCAAAATAAATAACGAGGAATCGACTACTGAAGATAATGAATTCGAATCTGAAATTTTAAGAAAATACAGAAAAACTTTCATGAGGTATTAAAAAATTGGGTTATCATTATTTTTCCATGTTTAAATAAATATATTTATTTTATATTTTGGACGCTTGATTGTCTTGAAAACTCTAATAATCTTTCCAAACGAAAAAAAAAATTGCTTCGAAGTTTGAATCAAACTTTAAACTATTCAATGTCGCGGATCATAATGAAATCGTATTAAAATGAAATGAGAGGCTTCTATTTGCCCCTCTAAAACCACTTATACTTGTTTATTATAAAACCTACCCCTAAACCCTAATCCTAACTCTAAAAAAATGCTAAAAAAGTGCACTCCAAAAATTTGTATTTTTGGTGTCTTGTCTATTTTACACTATATATCTCATTTTATTTTAATCTGTCACAATAATTAAATATAAAGTCTTGTGACTAAGTCCAAGTACAAGTATAATTCTGGAATAGGAATTCATCCAAACATAGAGGGTGAGCATTGTGGTGTTACAAAAGACTGTGGTTATGAAGATTGCATGAATAAGTCCTTCAAGACAGGATTTACCAATCTCTGGGATTTACAATTCAAATAGTATTATAATATCACTGGAGTCAGTGTAACTTCTTTGATATAATCAGAATTGTTCTGGTCTTATATGATAACTATAAGCAAGTATAATATGGGCTAGTACACAACAAAACAAGGTTTAAAGACATTTTGATTAAGATCAAGATTTTTATCAGATTATATTTCTAAATTTATTCACAGTAAATTTTTTAGCTTGCATTAGTATAATAAAATTTTGTATAATTTTATATGCAGTATTTTTTTATTTATATATTATATTTAAAATTTTAAATGATTTTTTTTCTTTACAATATCACAAACAGACAAATGTTTATTAGATATTTAGTAATATATTTTTGGTTAATGAAAGTATATTTAGCTATATGTGCAACTTTTGGTTGTCTATTTAAGTAGTCCATCTGAAAGTTTTATACTATATGCTGTACTTATAATCTAATTAGGAGTTTATCTATTTAAACTCTCTAATGTTTACATTTTGCACCACTACCATAATTATGCTGGCCCATAACCTTGTGCTGTTTCAATTAAAGATTATCTAGATCAATATGTGCTATACTACTTACATTCTAATTCTATAAATAATTCTATAAATAACTCAATAGGATTCTTATATTATTAGATTACCTTAGAAGAGATGTAATACATATTCTTTAATTTTTTATATCATATGCATTTTTAGATTAGGTTTCAAATACCTTTTACAGCAGCCAGAATTACTACTAGCAGTCTGAGCTAACTGTTAAATTGCATAATTTCAGTATTCATGTCCTTACAAAGTTTATTCTGATTCTAATATCTGTATCAAACCAGTCTTTATATTAATCTTTCCCAAACTACCAAACTAGTTAGCCTAGATGGCTTGTCATATTCTGATATAGAAGTAGTAAACAATGCTAATCTTTTGAAAGGGTTTACTAAATTCTTTGCTTTTTGTTAAAAATCTTGAAGCCAAAGGATAGCAAGAAGATATTGAGTTTTTATAAGTATTCTAACCAAGAAATATTTTCTAAAAGTTCTTTATAACCTTCTGTTTTTAAACAAACTTAAGTCTTCTTTCTATTTGCTGTTCCCAAAAACTCTACTGGTTTGAATATCAAATACAAAGAGAAGTCTACTTAAGAAATATAAAAAAGGAGCTTGACCCCTTTGTAAAAAAACTGTTCAAAATATCTACTTCTTGATATATCATATTTAAAGACTTTATCGACAACAATTTATATTGAGAGAACTCAAGTTATTGTTAACTTTTGGTCTTGAGTTTTCAACTTGCTTTTAGTAGCTGATTAGTACAAGTGATCATTGAGGAAAATTAAATGATTATTGAATTTTACTTATAAAATTAGTTATATTATTTAGTTATTTTATTATACTGTATTTATATTATAATTTTTTTTACTTTAGCTATCACAGGTCCAAGTTTTAAATTTCAATAACATTTCTATAAGAAATCAGTGAGATATCGGACACCAGTTTATCTGATAGCTTACTGATATTTGGCGTGTATTTTTACCTATCAGTGAAATATTAGCTTCTGATAGGCCTATCGGAAGCTGATATTCCACCAATAGGTGAAGATATACGCCAAATATCAGTAAGCTATCAGATAAACTAGTGTCCGATATCTCACTAATATCTTACAGAAATGTTACTGAAATTTAAAGCTTGGACCTGTGTATTTTACTAGTAATCCTTTATTAAGATTATTTTGTTGTAAATATACAAAATGTTAAGTTTAATATTTAGGCTTAATATTCTACAGTTATTTCTAAAAACATTTACAAGCAACTAGTCACACTAGGCAGATATATCTACAAGAGACACATCACAGTAAATTTATAGTATCTATTATAAAAGACTATGTCAGACTACTGCTTTATAATAGAATACTGCCAATCTGATGATATCTTCCTGTAAAGAAGTGAAAAAAATAAAAAAAAAATACTAACAATAATACTAATACTAAAAAAAAGGAAAGAGAAATGATAAAAAAAAAAAGAATTTGATAGTTATAATTATAAACCTGTGTCAGTTTATTAAAAATTACATATTACAAAATAAAGAAGCTCTATATCTAACTTTATTCTTATTTATTTGTCTGCAAAAAAAATAAAAACTAATAAATTTAAACTAAACTAGACTAAGCTAAACAGAGTAGTTAAAAGGCACTAATAGTCTCGAAATATTGTTAAATAGTTTTTCTGGTTGAAGCATATAACCTATTTGTATTATTTTTCAGACATGCTCTGTTGCTTATTCTAAACATCTACTAATTTCATTTTTATTAAAAGTAAACAACCTGTTTTTGAAAATAAACAATACCAACTGTTTTAAAAAATTACATGTTGATCTTTTGAAAGTGATAAACTGAAACATCCATTTTTTAATAAAATTTTCTTGAAAAAAGTAATGGGCCAATATAACTTTGTGAGTTTTTCTTGTAAGTTTTATAGTTGTATAAAGACAATTTTTAGTTTTTTTAATATGTTTAACATCAACTTTGTTGTTCTATGTTTCCAGAATATCTTTTTAGTTTGGATGCCAAATGTAATAGAAGAGTTTGCTACAGAAAACTTTAACCTCTATGAAAACTGTCCAAAGTAGTCTATACCTTGGTTTTACACTCTTGGTACTTCATTAACAACAACACATCTATTTGTATAGAACCAAGTATATTATTACTCTTTGATATTTATTATAATATTTTTTTGTAGTTTGGTTTTTGAAGTAGTTAACCAGAAGATTATCAAAAAGAGTTGAATACAAATTGTATAATTTGATTGTAATTAATATTTTAATTAATATTAAAAAACTAATTTAAAAATTTTTATTATAATATAAAGTAATTTATTTAAATATTTTTAAAGATTTTATTAAAGGGTAAATCATACTACATTTAATTCTTTTTTGATTTAGCTTGTTTTAAAAAAGTTATAATACTTTAAAGTTTTAATTAATAAACATTGGATGTGTTTTACTGCCTAATACTGTATCATTTCAAAAAATGGTTAATATAAAAGTTTAGAGTAGATAAAACATCCAAAAACATAGAGCGGGTTACAGTCTACTAATGATAAACTAAGAATAGTTGCTGCGAAATACCAAGTTTTTAACAAGTTTTAAATTACCTATATACAATTAATGATATCGATTAAGTCTTGATGTTTGTCACGATAAGTAATTACGTCATTTTTGACCAATAAAATCCCATGCATTAGAATTATGACGTAATTAAAGACCGTTTTGACTGATGCATCCCTAGATATCGATACATAACTTTTCAATGATATTACTAAAACTGGTCAAGTTTGTTATAATAACTATTCAAAATATTATTTTATATTTATACGTCGTTTTCATTGTCTCGCCGCATTTAGTTTATAATAAACATGAATTACAATGCTGGGCAAAAGTATGATTTTAGTTTATGCTTACGTAAATGGTTTGCTACGTACGATAGGAGGATTTCAACAACTCTCTTAAATATATTTTAAGAGACTACAGGTATAGTTATGTCCAACAACACAAGATATTACTTGTTATGATAATGTTATAATATTGGGTAGGGATGTTATGTGATCCGGTCTTAGGCTAATAGACCACGGTTAGTCTGTTCTAAGTCTTAAGACCGGACCAGTCTGTGGACCGGTTTGGATTATCAGTCTTAAGAATGAAGACCATAATAGACCAGACCTAGACCAGACATTTGAATCCAGACCAAAATATTATTACGTCATATCTAAAATTGGACCGGGTTCAAAAATAATTACCCTACTTATTATTTAATTAATAATATTTTTACCGTTTCTCTAATAAATAAACTCTTTATTGCAGCTATAATCCTTTTAACAATAAATAATTCAAATCCCTGAGAAATTCCAAATCGACTTAAATCCCGTTCCGTAAGTGGGAACGATATTTAAGTTTATTCTGAATTTTTAAGGCTAGAATTAGGATTTTTAGTGTTCTTATCTAAGTACGAAGTAGATTTCGAACCTGTTTTATATTCCATTCCCACTACCAAAGTTGGTATATCAGTACTAAATTCAAAATGCCCTGAGGTAACATTGATATTAACTCTCACGGTTACGTAAAAGACCCGATACATGTGATTTAGCGGGAATTTTTTATTTTGACTGCTTATAAACTAAAACTTGACTTAAAACTTGAATTTATAACGCTGATTAGCTATAACGATGATTAGCAAGTTTTTTAAACGGTAATTACGTAGTGTTTTTGGTCATGTTTAGAGGGATTGCTTATCGTTATCAATTTTTCTTAAAAACAATTAAAGTAATAAACAAACCAGTGTAACTCGTAACATGTGGTTTTGGATTGCGTATCGTGACGCTTTAGAGTTTTCCCGAATCAATAGTTCTAAGATCGTAGCATTGATTAGCTGTGGTTGTTATGAGACGACGATTCAAGTACGTACGTACGTAGCTGGAGATAGAAGGAAAAGAAAAGAAAAAATTATTATATTTGGTAAACTATTAATACATAATAGGCATTATAGAAAGAGAAAGTATGCATAAAAAGTACGTAGTAAATATCTGATATGTAAATATGTAAAATTGATTGTATATATACGTACGAACAATCTTTACCATTTTATTTATATAATATACTTAAATAAGGAATATTTGTTACGTAAAATTTTGACACGCACTCTTTCGAATTATCCAAATTACACATGCATTAATATCTTTCTAATTTAGTTGTTCATTGGACCCTGATCTCCGAGAATCTTTGTCATCAAATATATCAAACAGGGTATCAAGTGACCCTCGATTACTGTTGTTACGAAGCTTTTCGTATCTATATCGATATTATTTATGCAACATGACATATGTATCATTACTGACTCCGTGCCCTCTCCTTAAAAATTATCTACTTCCGAACAGCTTAAACTAGATCGTTATCGTTATCGGAATATAGTTATCTAATTTCAAGAAATAGTCAAGTTTAGAACAAGTGACTATAAATCCATGTGGAATCTAGCGTTAGGTTTACCAAAATTATATAGTAACATCATATTATGAAATAATACATCACTGAAATTTGGATTTTAACACAAATGGGATTACAAATATCAGTATGGTACGTAAATTGTTTGGTATGGGGGTGCACAGTACCTACGTATTATAAACACATACAGGTTACCCATACCAACTGATACTTAAATGGGTTAAATGATTACGTACATAAATGCTGAATGCTTTTTTTGTGAATTGATTTTTACGAATTTGATTATATTTTATATATACCGATACGCATAAAATTAAAATCAAATGACCTAATACGGTACCAATTTTGAGCTTAAAGTCTCATACGTAGTAGCCTGTTTATATTTTCGTATTCGGAAAGTTGCGATAATAAACACTATAACAATCGAACACAAGTTTGACACATGATGACAATTTATGAATGTCATTTATTACGAATTAAACTAATCATTATATCATTACGTTATAAGGTTTCACAAAATATATTTTTACAATAAAAATCTATCGCTATTTCGAGAAGAGAATTAAGCACTCTTTCCACTATAAAAAGAAGCACTCTTTCCACTATAAAAGACTGATCAAGCAATGTTTGTTTTTCTTCTTTTTTTAAAGAAAACCCATTCATTTAAAAACAACACCTGAACAATGGCGACAACAGAAGAAACAAGTCATATATATGACAGCGTACAGAAGAGCTATAATACAATTTCAATAGGTTCCTATTTCTAAACCATCTATTACCTGCTTGCAATCAATTTTCTTTATATTTAAACTATTGTTATTTATTAGATACAGAAACTGGGTCTACAAACAATGATCATGGGCACGGATCCAACTGGACTGCTTACATGAATATAGTGTTAGTTATCGTTATGCGTTACATCTCATAAATTCTTGATAAAATTTTTACACATCATTAAACTTTTATATTTTTCAGGTGTGTGGTGGCCGGATCTGGGGTTCTTGGTATTCCATATGCTTTACAACAAGGAGGATGGATATCTTTGGTTCTTCTAATTCTATCGGCACTTATGTCTACATATTCAAGTATAAAATTGATGGAATGTATAGAGTATGGGTATAGTAACAATACATCTTATTACGTATCTAAAAATTCTTATCCATAAATTAATATAAATTAATATATATTATTTGTGATTACGTTTATGCGCAGTAAAACTCGCAAAACATCTGTATCGGATATAGCATATGAAGCGTTTGGTAATATTGGATTATGTGTGGCTGGTTTCTTTTTTAACGTAATAAGTTTGGGTTGTCCGATCCTTTATCTTGTTCTCTCTGGAGGCAATCTACAAACATTGTTCAGTAACTATGGAATCGATTTGGGAATAGAAACATGGATATATATCTGTGCTGGTACCATGTGTATTCCATTCATTTTTCTTAAAACAATGAAAGAAACCGCTTGGCTAAGGTATATTTCTTTTTCACTATATTCTTTTCGTTTTATCCTATTTATCTAATGTTATTCATAAATCAATCCACATTAGTATATTTGGTGTTGTGACAACGTCGTTTGTCGTATTAATCGTGCTCATAATGTCTGTCATTGATTATCCAAACAATTCAAAAAATCCTCATGATTTTGTCAACCTTCGGCATCTTCCCATCGCGCAGTCAACTTTCTTTTTCAGTTTCGGGGGTAATGTCGTTTACCCCCATATTCAAGCTAGGTAAATTACTTCTATTGTTTTAAATGTTGTATTGTTATGCTAAAGCATTATTTAATCATTTAATCCTCACATTATTCATAAATGCTTATATAGCATGAAAAATAAAGGTGATTGGCCTAAAGTGGTTATGCTTGCGAAATTCACCATTACTTCTATGTACCTCTTAATCGGTATTCCCGCTTATTTAACTTATGGCCGATCCACAAAATCTCCTATATATCTCAGCCTCCCACCCGGTTTCATTGTTGATATTACTATGATAATGATCACTATGCACGTTCTTTTTGCCCTTCCTGTCTATCAAACTGCTTTCTCTTTAGAATTAGAGAATTATTTTTTTGCAAACATTCCTTATAGAATTAATGAGTTCATTTTACGTACAATCATTCGTTTAACCCTTGTAATTTTCACTATATATATCGCAATAACTGTACCATATTTTACCAATATCATGTCATTATTAGGTGCATTAGGTAATGGTGTTTTATTAATGATTTTACCAATATCTGTTTGGATAAAATTATTTGGTTGGAATCATATCCCAAGTTTTGAAAAATTTTGGGTCATTTTTATTTTATTTTTCGCTCTTTTTGGTGCTATCGTTGGTACTTGGGATGCATTAAGTGCTTTAACGACAGAAATGATGGGCGGAAATTGATTAGTTCTTTTCTCTTTTTTTTTCTGTTAATAAATAATAAAATAATAATAATAATAATAATAATAATAATAATAATAAGGAATTATCTTTACAATAAGAATGTTTATTATATCAACATATGCTATATCCTATGTGTAGAGCTGGTATTTACCGTTACATTTTTCATGAGGTAATAGTAATGAAAAATTTTGTTTATATTAAAATCATAAATCTAGTTTCTTACTATATATATATCGATATGGTTATTCGTATTTCATCTAATTATTTGTTAGTCCTAGTAAAAAATTATTTATATAATAAGAAACTGTACGTATTTGCGATTTAATATATATATAATTTCCTCTTAGCATTATTAACGATTTATGTAAAATGTAAAATATTTTGATACTATCGCAAAAATGTAGCGGTAGGATTTCGTAAGGTGGTTTTACATTATTTTAATATCATTATGAATTCAATCATACAGCTCAATTACAATTAATACGTATACTGCATACGCTTCTACATCAATGTTAATAATTAAACTAATTAGTTTAATAAAATTAAATTAAGAATACGTTCGATAACACTATCTTTATTGAAATTGCATAAGTCTTGTCACTCTAATTCCGTTAAAAGAACTATATGCTTAGTTCTTGTGAAGCATTGATCTCACTTTTCTTTTTTACTAACAAATCCACACCAGTAAGAACAAAGGAGCACCAATATGCCGGATGAGAATTAATAAAGTGATACATTGCTTTGTTTAAACATTCAGTTACTCGACCTCCATTTTTTAATTCTAGGTAAAAAATATCCATTAATTTAGCTGTGACATCATCAATAACCTTTCGTGGACTCGCCAATACAAGCCGAACGCCAGAAGCACAAAGCTCTCGTGTAAATCCGATAACACTCTCTGCTGCCATCTGTCCTCCACCACAATTACATGCTCCCAAGACAACGAAAGTACACTCCTTTCGAATATTAGCTGCTAACTCTGTTGCAAAAATAAAATGCTGACTTTCGTAAGAATCTACCACTGCATCCCATTCATCATATGAATCTTCTAAATATAAATGTAAAGGATATAGTGATTCTCCTAGCATTTCACCAGGTGGTTCTTTTACAAACGGATCCCTTCCTTCTTCAAAGCTTCCCTCACTTTCTTCCGGATTCCATGATACTAACAATGCTCCACGAACAAATGGTGGTGGTTCTCTTAAGAATTTTATTTTGAGAGAACCATGAGTAGCAAAATGAATAATAGATGCATTCTTAACTTCATTTAATACAGCTTTCTTGGTAGCATTAATATCTGTTAATGGTGATGAATTTAAGTGAAATGCTACTCTTTCACATTCTCGTTTCATATTGATTAAAGGTCCAAAATTTTCTGTCAAGTTTTCATGAACGGATGGATAACCCACAACTGTCGCATGATCAGGGGGCATTTGTAAAATATTTTGGTTAGATTCGGAACTGGTATTAAGATACCGGAATATAATAATCGAAAAACCAAACAAAATTGTATATCCTTCTTTAATTAGATAATGATTCTGGGGTTGGCCTGGTACTGGTAATGCTGCGAATGGAATACTATGTAAAAGACCTTGAGGGAATATCACAAGACTTTTACAATTACAATCTTGAAGATATTGCCATGCTGGTTGAAGAAGAGCATCTGATAATTCTTTAAGACAAGATGTACATGATTCAATTTTATCGGAATTTTCAACATTATCACTATACAAGTTGCTACCACGTGAACCTCGAAAATTCAGCACCTCATCCATCTCATTCTCCATATCATTAATCATCTCCAGATTAAATGGTACGGAAGTTGCAAAAATAGGTTTATCTTTGTGTGGAGGAATAAGCCATATTAATACACTTTGTGACAATTCTACATATGTATAAATTAAAAGAATCGACTGTGTTTCAACTGCCGTATCAAGAATTTGAGAAAATTCTGTACTAAAATTTACAGGACGTAACTTTGGCATAACATTGCATTCACCTAATAATTGTTTAAGGCTAACAGCTCTTGATTGTTCTGCCCAAACTAATGACTCATCGATTTTATTCTGTTGAAATAGTGCATACTGAAGAAGTGTGTATGCTTTAGACATTTGTTCAAATATACTTACACGTTGTTGGTCATCAGGAAGCTCTCTCAAAAGTGTATCAAATATTTCAGTCACATTTCGTAGCTCTTTTTCTGCGCATTCAAAGTTGCATTGAGCAAGGTAGACTTCTGCCAAGGCAACTCCACTAAGACCAGAACGAAAACGTGCTCCACAACTTATGTTTTCTTTATAAGAATTTTGTCCACATTCTATAGCAGTAGTTGCTTTGTCATTACCTAAAAGTAGTAATACTCTACTCTTTCCAGAAAGTGCAATCCCTAGCCCACCTGGATCCTTTTTTAGACCTGTTTCACCACTTGTAATCTTAACCATTTCATCAAATTCCTTCAGTGCACGTTCTAAAAGCTCTTTATCTTTATCCTCATATAATGCAAGCAATAGAATACATTCACCAAGATGACCTTGTGCGATACCACGACTGCGCTCAAAAAAAGAAAAGTCTACAGAACGTAATTGATCAAGTTTCACTAATGACTTTTCAATAAATGTTATTGTTTCATCTAACAAACATCTATTGTCAGTGGATTTACAAAGGGACACCATCGTTTTACCAATGTTATTTCGAGCTATGGTTTGTTGTTTATCGTCAGGATATATTTGCTGCAGCGTTAAGCGGAGATGGCGATCATGTAACACAAGTGATTGTTCATACTGACCAAGATCGAAGAGAAGGCTAGCTTTGTTACTGCACACTTTACCTACCTCTACAAATGCACTTATTCCTATTTTTTTATCGTCATGCAAAAGTAATTCCAAATATTCTAATGACTTTTCGGCACAGGAAGCATTTCCTGTAACCATTAGACTTGAAGCAGGTTCAATCTTACCGCAGAGAGCGATCGTTTGATCAAAACAGTATATTGCATCATGAAAAAGGGACATCGATCTCAATGTGTTGCCTGTGATATTAAGTGCAGCCATCACCCGTTGCGTTGCAGGAATAATGAATTCTTCTAAGCACGTGCTAAAATCTAAATCGGTAATACAACTGGCTGCAGCAACTACAGGATTCTTTGAGTCTTCAAAGGCCTTGTCCCAACTTGAAGGATAGTTTGATGATGGGAAACAATCTGCATATAATTCACGAAAAGCAATAGGAAG